CGGCGCCGCCGTCCGCTCGCCGCGCGCCCAGCGCCTTCTTCAGCGAGTAGTACGTGCCGAACTTGATCGTGCCGTACGTCGCCTGCCGCAGCACCGCCGGCCATATTCTGCACGCACACGTAACAACGTAGACACGCTTACAACATTGTACCTCTCACATCTATACATATAAATTGCATTAAAATATTCTGAAAATAAAGTTATATCTAACATTAAATGAAATCATCAAAACCGTAAAACCGCATTGTATACTTTCGTGAGAATAACCCCTATATTAAGTCAAGGTTGCAGTATAATTACGTGTACAATCCAGTACCTGGAACGAAGAACTTCGCCACAAATCAAATAATCGACAAATGAATCAACTTCGATAGATATTCATCAGTAACCATACAGTTTAGTGTTATGTAAACAACAGCAATAAGCAATCACATTTCTAAAATGATCCTCCAGGCTTCTTATAAATATCATAGGCAGTATTCACTATCAAGCAATTGTTCCACTTCTTCATCCTTGTAATTATATTTGTATAGTATGTTCACTTATCTGCTTTATTATTGGATTATTCTTAAGCCTTTTATCATAAAATTCCATACGTCTAACAACTACAATGTCGACGTGAAATTTTAATTACTTTATGTTAATGCATAATAATTTTTAACATATTTTTATATCAACATAGAAGAACAAATTTATAACACAATAATTTAACATACAAGGAAAAATTAGCACCCTATATCCCAATGTACAATTTGCCTAATAGGTGTTAAATAATAACTTACACAACATCAAAAAGTTATGTGCAAAAAGATTCTAAATATATTTGTGATCAAAACAGTTAGGCTCTAATTTTTTTTCAGGGATTGAAAAAAATGAAAAACACTCGTTGGCACTTTTGGCTTAGTCATTTTATATCATTGAAGCTGACAGATAGGTCAGAGGGATTTTACTACATAATAGAAGAGATTATGAATATAGAAAACATGTGATGTAATGAGTAGTTAGCCTTATTATCATGGAGCAGTAATGTCAGACATGTTGTCGTCAATGGCAAGCATATGAAAACACAATCTTTTGTGTGTGATAAGATAGCATGGTCTCTAACGTACGATATTGTTTTTGTTTTTATTTTATCTGCGCACTATATGTACATACATATTTACTAGCTTGAGCTTGTGACTATGTCTCTGTAATTACTTATTAAGCTATTTGAATTTCCATCAAAAAAATGGGAATTTTTAAAAACAATAAGGAACCAGGCATACAATTTATAAAACCCTGTCATAAATATCTAATTGCATATATAGAGAAAAAATGTAGCTCATAAACTGCCTTGGGCGAGATTTCTACACCCTCATTTTTCTCTTCCTTAGGCAAAGGGGGTTGTTAGGGTAACAGGGTTATGTGTGGCTGCGTAATGCTCAGACCTGTGTTCCACTTTCTGTTCATTTTCATGGGTGGTGACCCAACCTACCCTACCCTAACACCAGCCCTGACAGTAGACAAAATGCTTGAATGATAATCAACATATTTATGGCTTACCCACAATACAATGCCTTAATTCCTTCCTGCTTTGAGGTCTTCACAAAGCAGTCCACCATGCCCGTGTAGCGCAGCTCCACATGTCTAGGGTCTATCTTCTGACCCTGGATCTGGAGACGGGTTTTTGTTGTGTCAATTGGAAATGTACCTGAACAACACAAACAAATTCGTGACCTTAACATATAACCATATTAAGTTTGTAATAAATTTGCTTGTAAATTGTTTAATCCACAAATTTTATTACTTTAAATGTAAATACATATTTAACTTTCACATTGGCACTATAATTATTTAAATACAAGGAGTATGTTATTTGTCCTAAGAAAAATCTTAAGTCTTCATTTCCATAAGAAAATTGCAAAATGCAGCGCAAATATGTATTACCAGGGCATTGCAATGAGGCTAATTATTTTTGTGAAACAAATGTAATACATCTCACCAAACTCCGCCACGATCGAGGCCAAGCCGCCATAAATAAACGGTCTCCAATCTCTATCTCCCATCACATGCGAAAACTATTTGCGCTAAATTCTTCAAGCGGCCAAGTTGTTTACAATTACTAGAATCCGGATTTTAACAATGAGGTTATCTTTATGCGGCTACACTATAGTTCTAATTAGTACGAAAATGTTCATCATCAACAACAAAGATTACTCCATTATGGGAAAATGATGAACAAATTAAATATCTAAACCCGCAAGAATTATCGAACTACATTCAAAAATTAGTCTGACACATTCATTCGCAAGTCTGACAATTGATAATTCTTCTTTGACATGTAGAGCACAAAACCCTATTTCCACTATTCAGACATTCTTTGATAGTATCCCATAGACAAACTGCAACAGATTAACAATTCAAAATGGAATTGTATACTATCGACTTATATAGCACAACTTATGTATATTACTATTTTTTATGTCTACCTGCGGCTATATCGTAGTATGCCGATAATGTTTTCGGCAAGAAACTCCTTCCTTAAAGAATAAAGAATGACTGTGATAGCCTAACAACGCAATCGCTTCCACAATGATAACCCGCTAAAATCGTTATTATAGTCGTGAAATTACATAATTTATTTTTTAAAGTTTATTTGTCACGTCCCTCTTTGTGTTATTTTATATCTGTGTTTTAAGTAGTCTTTTTTGTGTTTGTCAGTGTCAATGTCAATAAGTCGCGTCTATGGTTTTGGTTCACTTTTCAATTTAAGATTAAGTTGTTATTTTTATTTCTTAATTTTTATGTTTTGAGTTTCAGTTTTTGCTCTATTTTAGTTTTATTTTTAATATTCAGGTAAAATTGAAACCATATCAATAGATTTTATATGTTTATAAGATCGTAATATTTGATAAATAAAAAGTTTGTAATTTGAAAAATAATAGCAAGTTTAATATCGTAAACGTTTGCTTAATGATTCTGTTGTAAACATAATGGGAATATCAATGAAACTATAGGTAATCCTATACACTTAATAGTGGGCGATGGTCATTTTTATCAATGCAATAATTTTCTTCTAGGTGTGAGGTTTATGCATTGTAAATACAATGTTTGATGGTTATGCTAACCAAGTGCAGCAGGAGCCGAATCCTGCACCGCCACCCCAGAAAGTTTTGAGATTTGATAAAGGGTACGTGAAGACACTACCTGGGATACTTAAAATAGTACAACTGGTATGTTGACTTAAACATTTGAAGTTATTATTATCAAGTTCCAAGTATTTAAGTTCAAAAGTTGTTGCCGCTCCACTTTGCTATTGTTAAAAATAAATATAATCCATTGAGAGAATCATGTGGTGTTGGAGTCAAAGCTGTTAAATTCTATATAAAGATTTCATGTTTTAAATTAAATATTGATAAAAAATTTGTATTAAATTACAGTTGTGCAATGTGATAGGGTTCATATGTATGAAAGTGTCATGGGCATTCCTGTCATCAATCTTCTACAACATACTGTACTGGGTGGCCAATATAATCACCCTGTTTCTATTCTGCATGTACATGTTCCACTTTGTGGAGAAATATGACAGATTGCCATGGATGAAGTTTGAGTTCTTCTACTGCGGTGTTGTGGTACTTGCTTATATTGTATTGTCAATTATTGCAACCACTATTGGAGAAAATGGATATGCTGTTGGGGTATGTTTTTCTTTACACTATTTTTTTATATTTTAATAAGATTAATTATTAATAAATAGAATTGAAACAAAAATAAATTTTTGGAATTTCCATGAACAATTTTCAATTAATGTACAATGTTTATAAACAATTACATTGACAAGTAACTTGTATAGGTAATATCACAAATTCAATATTACAAAATGCCTAAGGTTCAGAAGCTGTGTGCTTATGAAGTGTTATATTTTCTTAGAATATTTACTTCAGTATTTTATTAGAATCACAATTAAATGTTTGCAGTTCTTTGGGCTGTGTGCAATCATAGCATACAGTTACGATGGCTACTTGAAATACAGGTCATGGAAGCGAGGTCTGCCCCCACAGTGACCTTACACGGATTTTACTGACCTTTCAATTAGTTTTATTTAGGTTAAGACTTATATATACAGTTAGGTTTCAACCAAACAAAATCTTTATTATTTTCTCTTTTTTTTTTTACTATTCATAAGTCACTTTTTTTTAATTATTAAGATGAATTCTGTGGTTGTTGTTTGAGATTGACATTACTGCTATTTATTTATTAGTTTTTTTAAAGATAAACAACATATAGTTATGTGGCAATATCTGTGCCATTATTATTATAAAAGATTATTTAATAATGAAAAACATATCAAAATTAAAAACTATTGCCATTATTTTTCTCCTCTTAAATCAATCTATTAAAAAATTATTGTCTTGGGCCAATTTACACAATTTTAGTTTTACCTATAAGTTTTGATATAGAAATTATTTTTTATCAGTATTAAGGGATCTTAATAGTTATAACAAACAATATAGTTCAAGCACAACTTTTGTACCTTATAGTACTAAGTACTTATATAAAGTTCATTTTAGGATATTTATAAGAAGTTAATGTATTTTTATGTTAAATCAGTGTAACTGAACAAATATATAAATGAAATATAAATGGTTTATATAGCAGCCATGTACAATATGTTTTATATATTAATGTGCCTTAACATATAAAACTGTTTAAAAACTTATTCTAAATATTTAACTATGAATAATGTAATTTTGTATGTCTTTTTCAATGTAATGAGCTTCTGATAACCTTTGTCAAGGGTCAACATTATTTGTTTTAATGTGTTAAAGACAAAATAATATGATTGTACTTTTTGAGTGTTTTATAGTTTTAAACCTTACTAATGGATGGATGGATGGAGGTTTGTTTGAAGGCATCTTCGGAACAGCTCAACAGATCTTGATTTAATTTGGCAAAGATATAGAACATAGCCTGAACGAACACTACTTATTAAGATTTCTTTTAATTCCGCGCACACGAAGTTTTTGAAGATAGAGACCACTTTGGTAGTTTTATATGGAATACCTGACTTCTTAATATTTTTTAACAATTATTTCTTAAGCATTTAAAGACACTTATGCATTTTGTAACACCTTTTTATGTATTAATTATTAAGATTGTTTTTTTTTATACTGAAAGATTTGTAAATTATTTTAAAAACAATTTACAACATTGTATAATAATTTTCTAACAAAATGATTCTGTCCTTTTACAACTTTTTCTATGACTCTTGCGGCAAATTGTATTTGTTTTTTTTTTTAAATAAAGATCTTTGTCATTTAAAACAGATTTTAATTGTAGAAGTATAAAAATTGACCATTTCCGAAAGAAAGTTAAAATAAAGAAGTGAATAAAAGAACATTTTGGTCATCAATTAATTATTGATGGTTGAATAAAACAACTTAACAACATGTTTCATGATGTTTATTCTTAAAGTAAAATAAATATCTACAAACAATAAGTATACAAGTGAATAATAAAATGTTTCGATTAACATTTAAATAATAAATACACAGATTAAGAAATATTACTTGGATATACAAAGTTATAACAATTTGTGACGTTAGTAATGTGCGGTGGGTACAACATTGATTTATAACAAACTTTCCATTAAAAACATAATAATTATAAATATTAAAAATCTGTCACTGGTAAAAATATAATTATTGTTATATTAAATTGGTCAAACGTGTTTCAAAATTCATTTTCGTCATTTTATTTACAATACTATTGTAGTATAAACCATATATTTTATTTCTTTAAATAACCAGTTTAAGTACTTAAATATTTACTGCTTACCATGGGGTTCCGAGACCAAAATTCGCGCTTAAAACATATTGTTATAACTGTTTTGTCAAAGATGTTTTATACAGAGATTTGGTCTCAGAACCCAACGGTGACGTGAGCACTATAATAGATTTTGACTAAATTCATCCCCTAAAGATATAAATTGGGTGGGGAGGGTGAAAATGACTATAAAAAGATGATATTCCTTCGGCAGATGTTGAGAAGTAATATACTGCAGTTTTTAGGCTTTTTCAAAGTCTCGTTGGTCTAAATACGAGGTGAGTTTGTTTTAAAACTTTACAGCTATTAATTAATAAGGGTACACATATATAATATGTTTTGGCACAAGCATGAGCAGTGCTGGATGAAGGACGGAGCAACTTTGCGGATCTATAAAATGTCACATTAAAATAGTGATAATATAAAGTTTAAAATAACGCTTAAACATTACATATTTACAAAGCTTTTTGTATGAAAATATACATTAATTTAATTAAGTGTTGATATTGACTACATATAATGATACTCAGTTAGCACCAAACCATTTAATATTAGTATATTAAGGACAACTGTTTACTAGCGAAGCTAATCATTGTGTCTATTATATTTATTATAACTTAATTAAACTTAAAGCCGCACAGTAAAAGACATTGTAAGTAATTGTAAGGAAAATATACAATGAATGCTTATGGACTAGAAAGTTAACTAATAAATATTTTAAGTACATCGTTTTGTAAATATAGTGTGTTCATTAAGCCAAAATAAATTAAAATGATCGTGTGAACATTAAAACACTGCTCTGGCAATTTTTACAAAATAATTATATTTTTTTGCATGACTAAATAAAAAAATGTTTTCTTATACTCCATTGTTTGTGAGTAATTAAATAAAGTTAGCATGTGATATAGCGAAGATCTCATGCTCATGTGTGAGCGAGAGATAAACATATAGTCGACTCGTTCTATCGCACAGCGCCGGGCGGAGGGGGGGGGGGTTTCGGCTTTTTGTAACAACATTGTCTGGGTCGATAAGACAAGTTGATGACTTTTATTGTTAACTTGTGATCAGATATTCCTAGTCTTATATCTCTGGTTACATTTTTAGACTTACATTAAAAATAGTTAAAAAGCGTCGTAACAAAAATACTGATTGTATAAAATACAAAATAATTGCATTAAAGTGCAATTAAAAATCTGTCAAGAATTAACTCCAATGGTTCTATTCATCATTGAAACACTTCTTAATAATTCTTTTTTACAGTCTGCATAAGCAACAAAGCGAAACGGTCAAAACCTTAAAAACTTTAATAACACACGCTTTTCAATTGCATAAAATTTTTGATGTGCATACTATAAATAATATAAAGACGCTCATTTGATTCAAAATAATGCAACAGTACCTGTTCGCACCAATACGCCGTTACGCTAAGCGCCTACAATTTTGTGAGGAGCAACATTTTTCAATCACTAGTGGAGTACCACACAAACCAAGATTTCGTTAATCCCAATTTGAATTTTTAACCATTCTAAAAGTCTGTACTTGTTGAACGCTTGCTGAATACATATCTCTTTCCTCTCTGGCAAAAATCGTTTAATTTCAGTAGTTTTCGACGTAATAACTTTTACAGTACCCGCATCATCAATACTTTTCAATATCCTTTAAAAATAAATAGATGATATATTTGGACGCAGTGCAGGTAATTATTTGATGCATGGGCCTATCCATTGTGTTGTACCGTAATGTTTTGTGAGGCGTGGTGCGAGCTACGGCAATGCGGGCGGCGCGGTGACGTGCGTCTGCTTGGTCATCACGCGGTGTCCCTGCGCGAGTTCGCCTGCGCGCCACGCCCGCATCTTCAGGAATGCGTCCGCCCCGTACACCACCATTGCCAAGTACCCGAAGAACTATGCAAAAAATAAATACCTGCTTTTCAAAAAAAAATCGGAATATACCAGCTGTCCAAGGAGTTTCAACAGTTTCAGTCAGGCCACATAGAAAAGAAGAAATAATCTATTCTTTTTAAATTTGTAAAAATTTTATTCGTTTGTCTTTTTCTGTTCATATTCAACAATACACGTTTATTTTCGAAAAGAGTGAATTTTATTTTATCTTTCTAACATTTGGTCCGATTCGAGCCGTATATTAAATAAAAAAATGGAAAATGAACCATTAATAGTATTACAAGACGAACTGAAGCAAAATATTTCAAAAGCACAAATAAATTTTAAGAAGTCGCCCCGGGATAGAATAACAACAACTTATGTGGAAGCAAGATTGAATACATTAGAGTTATACTGGAGTAAGTTTACAAACAACCATGATCAAATTATAACTAAGATAGATAAGAACAATAGATCGCAAATTGAGTATTTCGAGGAAGATGTCTATAGTAATGTAGAAGAGAATTATTATATTTACAAAGGTGAGTTGAACACAGCTTTACAAAAATTGAATCCAATGCCATCCACATCTAGAGAAGAATGCAACTTTAAGCAAGAAGACGATGTTAAGTGCTATAGCAGAGATGTTAAATTACCACGTATTACTATACCAACTTTTTCTGGAAATTATACCGAATGGCAATCTTTTTATGATTTATTTACATCATTGATTCATAACAATGGACACTTAGATGAAGTGCAAAAGCTTCACTATCTGAAAAGTAGCTTGTCAGGAGATGCAGAAACATTGCTTAAAGGAGTACCGGTGACTGGAGACAATTACGGAGAAGCATGGAATATCTTAAAGAAAAGATATGACAACAAGCGGTATGTTACAAATTACATTTTTAAGAAATTTTTTGGACAAAGGAATATTACTCAGGAATCAGCTTTTAATATCAAACAACTATTAGACACCTCCGTCGAATGCATCAATGCTTTGAAACATATTGGTTTGCCTACAGAATATTGGGACGCGATTTTAATTTATATTATTATTTCAAAATTAGATGAAAATAGCCTAAAGCAGTGGGAAGAGACAATTAGTGCAGATAGTACAGATGAGATACCAAAATTACAGAAACTAACAACTTTTCTCGAAACTAGATTTAGGACATTGGAAATTATTGACAGTAGTAACTACAAGTCAAAACTAATGAGACCGAAAACATTTCACGCTAGTGTCGAGCACCAATGTTCGTTCTGCAAAGGAAATCATTATATATACAACTGTAA